GTGTACAAAATGTTAGGAAGGGAACCAAAAAATAAGTATAATATGGGATACAGTTTACGTTAAAGTATGTATGTTAAAGTATGGAAGACTTCGAATCTTATTCAGAGAGAAGTATTTCCAATCAGGTCATTCATAACATTTTAGTAATCATAAATATTTTTTGCTTCTCAAGACATAGATGTTTCACATGTTTCAAAACATCAGTAATATCCCACTGATTTTTATCAGATACCGCAAAATATATGCTACTCTTGAAAGGCAGATTTTTTTTTTCTAAGGAGAGACAAAAAGCTGAGAGGCAAAAGTGGGCCAGAACTGCACTTCTGTGGAAAGAGGTTTTTCAAAGACATCAAATCCAACTGTGTCCAGATTGCATAACAGATTGTTAAAGCAATGAAACACTACTGCAGTAAGGCGTTCTGCATTTAGAGTGTAATTTGGGAGAACTCCCCCAACCCTTAATTGTAAAAAACCTTTAAACTATGCTTTGATATAGTAATTCCCATTCAGAAAGACTCCTCTTTCTGAAATTTTACAGTCTTTTAAAATGATATTTAAAACATGATGATTATGAAACAGACAGATTTCACATGTGCCCTTTAAAGCACTTATGAGACTTCCTTCTGTTATAAATGTAATTTAAAATGTATATGTTTCAGGTTTTTAAATTGATGTGCATGAAGGAAGGACAGTTTATAAACACATTTTAAATATCTTTAATTTTGGTTGCCCTGTGAACAGATGCATTATCCCTAAAAACACTTCTTCTACCCACCATCCTTCCAACAGACTTTCACACATTTAGGAAGAACTTTTTCCCATGTTAATTTTTGTCTCTATAGAGAAGTTTCTCTTGGTCACTATTGCAATGCACAGCTCCCAATTTTACCCAATTTCCCCACCTTTTCCATGCTCATTGGCATTTATGGTATGTCCATTTACTTCCACTGTCTTCCACTGTCAGTAGAACTGACAAGATTGGAGAAGAGGCTTGTCAGTATAATGTATATAGAAGTGCATGTGTCCCTATGTATCAAAAGTGTATAAGCACACCATGTTACTACACTTAGTAGTATTTTCATTTTTTAAAAAACAAAACAAAACACTGGTCGGTGAAATTAATATAGCTTTCCATAACTCTTAGAGCTATAGGATAGACCAGAGAGAGGGCATTGGGTGAAATGTACATGGCTTTCTATGAAATTTGTTGTTGTTGTTGTTTAGTCGTTTAGTCGTGTCCGACTCTTCGTGACCCCATGGACCAGAGCATGCCAGGCACTCCTGTCTTCCACTGCCTCCCACAGTTTGGTCAAACTCATGCTGGTAGCTTCAAGAACACTATCCAACCATCTCGTCCTCTGTCGTCCCCTTCTCCTTGTGCCCTCCATCTTTCCCAGCATCAGGGTCTTTTCCAGGGAGTATTCTCTTCTCATGAGGTGGCCAAAGTATTGGAGTCTCAGCTTCAGGATCTGTCCTTCCAGTGAGCACTCAGGGCTGATTTCCTTCAGAATGGATAGGTTTGATCTTCTTGCAGTCCATAATTCAAAAGCATCAGTTGTTTGGCGATCAGCCTTCTTATCAGACCTAAATAAGGGATAGTGAAGGAAACGGTAGAACAGGCTGGTGGGAGTTTCAAACTGTTGTCATTCATTATGGGATTAAATCCAATACTAGTTGCAAGGTGGCATGGGCTAATATCCAGGCAGGCAAGCAGTGAAACATATTTTCTCACACTTGCTGAAGGGGTTGCTGTGAAATATGAAACAAACCATAACTTGTGAAAACTGATGTTCTGCATTTACTGCAGTGGTTATCAATGCCTGTGTGATCATTAATACTCTTGGAAATCTCTGTGCTATTTTATTTTAGTTTAAGTGTATGTTAAAAGGGGTGGGTGTGGAATCTTGCTCATCTGTTTCTCTATTTCCTACAACACCCTTTGAAATTAGAACTCTCCATTTCCTAGTGCAGCATGGAAAGTGTTTGCCATCTTTTGTAAAATAGGGAACAAATCTTCTCCCTAAGATTTACTAAAGTTCTTGCTCGTACTAAACAATTTACTGGGCTTAATCACAGGCATAGGGTGGGCACAGTTGTAAATCTATTGCATTTAATTTTCTAGTAGCGTAGCAAAACAATTTGGGCACTATTCAGAAAGCAACCATTTTCCTTCACAGTGAATATATTCAACATAGTAAAGGAAACAGTGTACCAGGCACAACAATCCTAATTCTGGAGAGTGGGGAGGAGAAATCTCTATGGAGGAGGCTACAAGATTCACAGGAAGCATCCTGGTCATATGTTACCATTATTTAAAGCTCAGGTGTTGCATTTATTTATTTATTTTTTAAAAATGAATTATAATAATTCTAGCAATAGATGCAACAAGAGTCACTCCATTTTAAAGCAAATATATTTGTGTTTTGGGTATGCATACATAAGGTAAAGGTAAAGGGACCCCTGACCATTAGGTCCAGTCGTGGCCGACTCTGGGGTTGCGGCGCTCATCTCGCTTTATTGGCTGAGGGAGCCGGCGTACAGCTTCCAGGTCATGTGGCCAGCATGACTAAGCCACTTCTGGCGAACCAGAGCAGCGCACGGAAATGCCGTTTACCTCCCCGCCGGAGCAGTACCTATTTATCTACTTGCACTTCGACGTGCTTTCGAACTGCTAGGTGGGCAGGAGCAGGGACTGAACAACGGGAGCTCACCCCATCACGGAGATTCGAACCGCCAACCTTCTGATCGGCAAGCCCTAGACTCTGTGGTTTAACCCACAGCGCCACCCGTGTTATTGTTTCTTACAATAGCCATTCAATGTGCAACACCAGCGTGATCAATATAGATCTCCCTGACAAATAATCACACGTGATTTGAAACATCTATTTCCCCTGCTAAATGGTGCTTTTACTGCATACAGTACAACGCTGTTTATTTAAATAATTGTGGAGTACTGAGGAGCAGAGATGTATACCTGGCATGCTGCCTCCTCCTTTCCTTTGTACTTTCCTCCTTTGTTCTCTTTGTTTATTTCTTGATTTGCCTCTTTCCTCTCTGTATCTTTTAACCTTGTTCCCTCATATTTCGTGTCATGTTAGTTTACTCTCATCTCTAATTCCTTGCCACTTGCACTCACCGTGAGTGAAATTAAATCGAGCAAGTGCAACTGTGTCATTGGCCTTTAAGTCTGGTTGGTAGGGGCTTGTGTTCCATAGGAACATAGTTGGGTGCCAGCAGACAGGGCTAGAATTAGTGGTGCCTGTAAGCTGATTCACAAAGGCATGCCCATCACCTGATATCTCGTCATGCCCTTGAACTCTTTCCATCGGAAAGTACTGTTTTGTGGTGTTATGAAAGCTCCACCAGTGAGGGAAGTTTTCATACATCATCATCACTGTGGGTTAAACCACAGAGCCTAGAGCTTGCCAATCAGAAGGTCGGCAGTTCAAATCCCCGTGACAGGGTGAGCTCCTGTTGCTCGGTCCCTGCTCCTGCCAAACTAGCAATTCGAAAGTGCGTGAAAGTGCAAGTAGATAAATAGGTACCGCTCCAGTGGGAAGGTAAACGGCATTTCCGTGCGCTGCTCTGGCTCGCCAGAAGCGGCTTAGTCATGCTGGCCACATGACCCGGAAGCTGTACGCTGGCTCCCTCGGCCAATAAAGCAAGATGAGCGCCGCAACCCCAGAGTTGGTCACGACTGGACCTAATGGTCAGGGGTTCCTTTACCTTTACTTTAGACTTGATTTACTAATCACCTTCTAAACAACATAAAATACCGTATTTTTTCCTCTATAAGACTCACATTTTCCCTCCTAAAAAGTAAGGGGAAATGTGTGCACGTCTTATGGAGCGAATGCAGGCTGCGCAGCTATCGCTGAAGCCAGAACAGCAAGATGGATTGCTGTTTTTGCTGTGCAGCAATCCGTCTTGCTGTTCTGGCTTCTGAGATTCAGAATATTTTTTTTCTTGTTTTCCTCCTCCAAAAACTAGGTGCGTCTTATAGAGCGAAAAATACGGCAATTAAAAACAGTTCAACACACAAAAGCAACAAATACCTTGAAAGCAAGATTAAGTCCCTAACAAGTTCACACTTGTGGTAAAGTCCCATTTACCCAGCTAGGAAAGGCTGATGGAACAAAAAAGAAGAGGTCTTCAGCTGTTTACAGAAAGCGAGGATAACGGGCACCTGCCATATCTTGACAGGAATGCCATTCTACAGATACGTACGTGCATGTCATCATTTGATAGCCAGGTCATCAAGTAAAGAATGCATGAACTTGCCGCCTGTAACACTGAGGTAGCTGGTTGATGCAGGCTGTTTCAGGAGGCAGATATTGAATTATTTATTATTTTTAAAATAGTCTCCCAGCAGTGATGTCTTTCTTGAGTCTGCTACGACTACATAACTTCTCAAATAGTGTTCCAGATGTTCCATTTTAAATTTCTTTTTTAAAAATCATGAGCAGCACACACAGTGCTACACGGCAGGTGGTGAGTCACAGAATCATGGATCCTAAGCTTCTAATCCGTGAAGCCTGATGGCTCACTCTTAGCTCGCCATATCTTCCTTGTCCTGTTGGAGGCTGCCGTGCAGGCAGAAGGTAGAAATAAGTGTTAATACCATGAGTGTTAATATGATAAAGCTGCTCTCTTTCTCCTGCAACACCACTGACCGATGAACCTGCAGATCCGTACAAAGGCTGCCAAACTCCTTTGACTTGTGTGCTGAACAAACAGAATGGGGTAGCACATCAGGAAGAGACATTGTCCAGAGGTAGACCACATGCTTAAGGTCTCAGGTCCAATTCCTGGCATCCGTGGTTAAGGCTGAAAGAGAAACTTGCCTGAAACCCTGCAGAGCCAGCACCATGCGGGAAAGACATACACAGCTAGATGGGCAGTTGGTCTGACTTCATTTAGAATAATAGAATCATAAAATTGAAAAATGGAAAGGGACCATGAGGGTCATCTAGTCCAACCCCCTGCATGGTAGGAATATTTTACCCATTGTGGGCATTGAACCCACAACCCTGAGATTAAAAGTTTCATGTTCTACTGACTGAGCTATTGAGGCAGCTTCCTATGTTCCTTCCAGAACACCCTTTGGGGTAGCCATTTGAGCCACATCACCCAGTGTGGCGTAGTGGTTAAGAGCGGTGGACTCGTAATCTGGGGAACTGGGTTCGCTTCCCCGCTCCTCCACATGCAGCTGCTGGGTGACCTTGGGCTAGTCACACTTCTCTGAAGTCTCTCAGCCCCACTCACCTCACAGAGTGTTTGTTGTGGGGGAGGAAGAGAAAGGAGAATGTTAGCTGCTTTGAGACTCCTTTGGGTAGTGATAAAGCGGGATATCAAATCCAAACTCTTCTTCTTCTTCACCCAAAAAGCAGGTGTAGATTGGCATTAAAAATTACATGTGCTTTTTTTTTAAAAAAGAAACAATGACTACAGGTATTGTGAACTCTGGTTGAAGAATAGTATATAAATTGAATAAAAAGCAAAAAATTATTTCATAAAATTTATATACCATTTGATTGTGAAAAAAGTCAAGGTGGTTAATAAATACGAACTCCCCATAGTGGGAGAAGACTTGTATGCCTGCTGTCCAAGCACTAACTATGGATGGGCAATTTCAAAGCCACTGATCTCCTTTCTGATGGTTCTTTACCTTTAAACCGGACAGTACTTTAAATAGAGCAGTGTCTTCTATAAAGCACATGCCCACCCTGACTCCCTCTGACATGTGCCGCTGTTGCCTTTCCCTGCACTCTCCTTGCTCCCACCCAGGGCAGGATTTAGGTTTAATGAGGCCCAAAGCTACTGAAGGTAATTGGGCCCTTTATATGTCCAGCTGTCCCTTGTCAACAACAAATTGTCACTGTTTTTTGTGTTGAATATATGCTATATGGTAATTTATGGACCTCATAGGTATCTAAAGCCATTTGCACATAACAAGTAGGAGCCTACACAACACAAAACACTGTTGCTGTATGTAGGTTTTATTTTATTTGTTTTTTATCTTATATTTTGGAAATGTACATCCAGGTTTTTTTCCTTTAAACTTTTGGGGGGGCACCCAAAAGAGTGGGGCCCTAAGCTATAGCTTGTTTAGCTTATGCGTAAATCCGGCACTGCTCCCACCAGCACTTCATGTTTCTAGTTGTGCTGCTTGCCGTGGCAAGTGTGTCATAGTAGTTAGAGTGTTGGACCAGGACCTGGACCAGGACCAGGTTCAGTTCCCCACATGAAGCCCACAGGGTGCCCTTGGGCCAGCCATTATTGTTGGGATACTGCTGAGGAGACAGGGGCATCAGGCAGGCCCCCAGCTGGCTCCAGCCACCAGCCAGCAGCCGGGCTATCACTGGTCTCCCTTGGAACAGCATCAATCAGCGACACGAGCCTCAGATACGTTTAGAAGCTGTGCACACACTACCAGCAGAATGAATAAATCTTCTCACAACGGAAGTGGCGGACAGAGTCATGTGTAAGCATATTTACAGCATTTATTCAGCATAGTTCAGGAACAAAGGAAAAAACATGTCTGCTTCCCTTCGTGTCCAGCTAAACAGCCAAAAGCAAAAGCAATATACAGATGGAAGTTCCCAGCAGACTGCTGGAATGTAAACAGGCATGTGACACACAACAGTCATGCCTGTTCCCTTTTAAGGTGGAACGGAACTGTATCCTAGCATCTCTCGGCCTAACCTACCACACAGAGGTTTTTTGAGGGTAAAATGAAGATGGGGAGAACCACGTATGCTTCCTGGAACAACCCCCCCAACCCCCTCCTTTCCCAGCTGATATTACTTAGATAAGAAGTGAAACAGTGTGTTTGTTTCTATAATATAACACTACTTCCCTGCAATTCCAAGAGGTGAGCAGTGGAGGCGTAATCCGCAGCAGTCTGAAAAAGCTGTTCTCCCTGCCTTGGTGCTTCATTCTCTGCTTGGCTTTGCCTGGGAGCCAAGAGGCAAAAGGGAGAAAGTTTGATCACCAAGCATTATTTTGAAGCTGCGGTATGAAAAAGAAAACTGGCAACTCTCCCCCTTCCCTCTGTGTTCTTCCCTTCACTCCACCTATTCAACCCTAATTGAAACCAAGCTGTGAATTTAGCACCAGTTCCTCCCTTTGTACTACAAGCTGCAAATTGTACATTTGTTCTTCTTCAAGAGCTCCAGGGACATTGTAAAAAGGGGGGTGGGTGGGTTCCATTTTTGCTTCTGTCAGTAGGGTTGAATTCTGAAGTGGCTGAAAGGAAATTGACAAACATTTTCACTCCGTGTAAAACGTTTGTCACTTTTTGATGATTTTTCAGGAGGAAAGAAAAAAAGGCTATGAACAGAGGCGGAAGTCTTCACAATGCAGCAACCACAATGCTGCCTCTAATATAATGCCAATTTATAACATGGGCAATGGTTCCTGCCCTTACTCTGAATTGGTAACAAAAACCAAAACCAAGGAAGAATAGATGTTTGAAATACGATTCATTCCAGAGCCCGTGTGCATTTGGTAAGAATTGCTGCTAAAAATGTTCTCCAAGGACAGATTTGCTTTGAAACGCTGTGGGCCTGGCATAAATATCATTTCAAGCACCTGGACTTCCTTCCCTCTCTTTCCTCCCCTCCCTTTTTGCTGCGTTCCTGTTTTGTGATTGGCTCTCTTACTCTGAATTGGCTTCATTATGTAGCTAAATCTGATTGGTTATTTGGTTACTATGAGTGGTTAGCCAAAATAATCTTCATGCTTTGTGTGGAGTGAGACAAACTACGACCCCAAGTTCAGAAGTAATGCTAAACCACACCATGACTTAGCTCTGGGTAGCATGGTAACAGAACAACTGGGGAAGAAGCAAAGTGCCATAATTATTATTGTGAGTACTCTCATGCTCACACATTCAGAGTTTGGCTTAGCATTATAGGTTAACTGGACAATTGCCATAAGTTGGTGGCCACAGCTTTTTTGGTGGTGGCCTCTGAGCTTTGAAACCCCATCTTCTCAATACTGTGTGGCACATGTGGGAGTGCGCCCTTTTTAAGCAGGCACATAATATCTTCATTTATGGTCAGAGTTTGAATGATAAGTTTTAATGCTAGGTTATGGTTTTATTGTGTTCTTGTCTTGTATTTTCCCCCATTTGTTTTTATTTTTAATTGTTCCCTACTTAAAAAATAATTTTGCTTGAAAATGATATATAAATAGCCCAAATAAATATAATAAATAAATCTGTCGATCACCAGATCTGACTGGCTGTATGGCAATGTTGTGATGTTTCTATACTGGCTTTGCGATCCTTATCAGGTAGCAAGAAAGAAGGAGATGCTGTTTCCTAGGCAACCCAATTTAGTTTCTATTGACTTTTTACCTAGTGAACACCTGAAATTAATCTCTAGCTTTGCTAACATAATGAATACTATGTTAATCTTTACTTACCTTAGTTCTCTGCCTCTCAAGGGATCTCTGTGTTCCGATTAGTGCTATAGGCAGATCTTTAAAATGGCAGCATCAGCCTTTTGTGTTTGTTTGTTCTAGTAGCCCTTCGTGCAACCTGTAAATCTGTTTATCACCCAGCAGAGGCTAATCTAATTAGGTCTGCACAACAACTGCTGGAATCCATTTTAAGACTGTTTCAGTTTGCAGAGTTGTGGCTTTAACATCATGCCATCTTTTTGTTCATCCTTCTGGTTAGACTAACATGTAGGAAAATGAACAGTTTTGGAAAACTCAAAAGCTAGTTGACTGTGTTGGGACTTTTTGTAAGGTCCTAATAAAGGTATTGTCCTATTGTAGATTTTGGGCATTTTTCTATGGACCAGCATAATTTCCCTCCCTCCCTCCCTCTGAACAGTGTTAGCCACATAGGAAAAAGTGCATGAGCAAAGAGAGAGAAGTGTACAAAGGAACATATTGGGAGTTAATGTAGATGTCTTGAGAACAGTTTTATTATTGCCTGGAAAATGTTTGAGGATGTTCTGTTTTGAGTGACCTGCAAGGGAAGGGAAGGCTTCAGTGGTAACCTGGACAGCTCCATGCACCAGAGGTCAAATCATCATCATCATCATTTTAATTGTATGCCGGGTATATAAATGTAAGGCTTCACAAACAAACAAACAAACAAACAAGCATGTTCCTTGTATTTGAAAGAATTGGTCTTTAGGTATATACAACCCATAGGATGGGTGTCCTTTGAATCCAATTCCCCCCAATTCTTTAAAGTCAGGGATGAGAGCCCTGTTGGATTCCAGCTTTCATCAGTCACACCAGCCAGCATGACCAATGGCCAGAGATGATGAGAATTGTGGTCAACAACATCTGAAAGGCCACAGCTTCCCCATCTCTGCTTTAAAAAGAGAGACAATCATAAATCCATTGCTGTTCAGTAATCATTGAGGGACAGTCTATCTAGCCCAGGCTTCCTCAACCTCAGCCCAGATGTTTTGAGACTACAGTTCCCATAATCCCTGACCACTGGTCCTGCTAGCTAGGGATCATGGGAGTTGTAGGCCAAAAACATCTGGAGGTCCAAGGTTGAGGAAGCCTGGGCTAGATAGACTGCCCCTCAGTGATCTAGCGTTGTCCCCCACCACCATGGACTTTAAAAGTATAGGCAGTATTTATTTTTTTTACATCATATCTGTGTTATTTTTGAATTTGTTGATTTCTTTATGTGGAGCTTTTATGTATCTAAGGTATCTAGAACCTGTGGCTAAGGTAGAGGCTCTGTTACAATTGAAGAACAGGGAACCTTATTGCTCCAAGTCAAATCAGACCTAAAGACTAATTGATCCTCATTTGGCTCCTCATCATGGTTCTAGAGGGCTTATTTGTAATGTAAAATTAGTGTCTTATTTTGGGAGATGTGGTTGGATGCATTTTATCTGTTTTTACTGGCTCATAAAACACATGGAGAGAGAGAACTTTCTACTGTGAGTTTTTTTTACTGGGTCATGTTCAGATTTCATTTTACAGTGGAGTTAATGTTGAATTATTCCATTCTCTTTTATGGTTTTGCTTAATATTACTGTTCTAGTATGACGGCGATAAAATTAAATCTGCTTGCTTTACTTCCTTTCTCTTG